CGTGGGCCCGGTGGAAAAGGGCAGACCAACGACTTACAGAAGTATAAATCAAGAGGCAGCGTCCAGCCATTCATTCATTCCTGCGTGAGCCATGCGGAAGCGCTGCCACAGCGACTTGTGCAAGGAGGTCTGCAGATGAGCCCGGAAGACGCAGTGGGCTAGAGAGAGGAAGTTAGCGTAGCGATAGGGTAGATGCAGCGAGAGCTGCCATAGCTGTAGTTAGTAGTGAGTGTGTGTGTGTGTTCGAGTGTTAGAGTGATGCGTGTGGGATATCCAGGGTGATCCAGTGTATGTGAACAGTGAGATGTTTGGGCGCTGAAGTCGCCATAGCCAATTAAGAGTGAACTCGTATCTGAAAGCCATATCTCTGAGTTTTGAGTGGGCGCATGTCGCCAGTATGCTGCGTTGCTGTTTACAAGCATGAAAAGTGTGTTTGAAAACGAGTCTGAATGCAATTAGCCTTTTTGGCTATAAAAAAAAAAAAAAAGAGAGGAAGACGATAGATGACACAGCCGAGCAGAGTAGTAAACCTTTTAACTGAACGCGTCAAAAGAACGCCCAAGTGCGACATCAGTCCTCTCGACGGTATCGTGAAAAAGACCCTAAGCCTCTCCTTATGCTGCAGCCTACTCTGCTGTCCAAAACTACTGAGTCTATGTTTTTTATTCGGTACTCTTGCGAGCTTTTCTTTCCTTTTGCTGCAGCTACTCTGCTGTGCAAAACTACCTATTACTCTGCTGTTAATGGCTGGAACCTACGTGTTTCTCCCCTCCGCTTGACATTGTTCTCTCTTGCTGAAACGTTCCCTCCGTATTAAAAAAATTGAACTGTGTGCAGAACACACGCCTGGCCCAGCGTTAGCGCTAGCGCCTCCGAATTTTTACATATCGCGGACAGCTAGGGTATGGAGAGGAGGGTTACGCCCCCGCATCTGCTATACCGTCGTCGCATGCTGCCCTTGATCCCTCTTCCTTGCCACGTTGGCAGGCGAGGGTAGGATTTGGACGCGGCCTCAGATCAGCATACGGAAAACGATCAGGGTGATAGCCCCTGGTCAACGATACGGAGYACTGGATTCGTTCTTGATGGGGATGGAGATTGCRGTTGGACTGCTCGGTTCTTCAGTCCCTGTGTGGCATCTACGATGGTGGTCTTCAGTTTTTGTGCAGCCGGGGTCGTCCGTTGTGGTGTTGGGATCTTGGTTCACTTTTTGACCCCTTGTTGATTACTTGCTGTGTAGGGGAGCAGGGGTAGTTGGAATGAACGCCACATTGAGAATTTCTCTGGAACCTATGCTTCGGCTCTTTCTTGCGACTTCGAATTTACCGTAAGTGTTTCGCCAGAGAGAGAGAGAGAGAGAGAGAGAGAGAGTTTTGCGCTTGGCAGTTTGCTCTTCAGCTGGTGGTTGTGATTTTTGTAATTCGGCCCTGCTTGGGTTACGATTGTTCGTGGTGATAGACTGATGTTAATCTCCGATTAGATTAGGGTTGTGTCCTGGGAATTGCGAATTTTTTAGGCCAGAGTAATTAAGGCCTGCCGGGTGCATGCTGTTCCGTGATTTTAACTTGGGTATTTTACCTGGTGTTGGATGTTGTCTTTGACCCCTTCGTTAGATCAGGATACATGTAGATAAGATATATAAATTGCTTTCTCGTGTTTTTGACTTTACTGGAGTAATGTTAATTTACCGATGTTTACTGGAGTTAATTAGGGTGTGATGTGAATCAGTGTTAATGTAGGTTATGACTCAGCCCCGTTTGTTAAGTAGGGTGTGACTCAGCCGCGGTGGGGTTATTCCAGGCCGGAGAGCCTGGTTCATCCCCGCAGGCCGTGGTTATTGATGTGAGGGACGCTGGGCCCGTTTCCCAGCTTGTGATGATATAAAATGAAGGGGACCTTTTTGTGAAAAAAAAAAAAAAAAGAAGTATGGAGTAATAGAATAAATATCGTCAACGGCAGAAACACAAATAGAAGAAATTTTGTCAACGGCTAGGCTACCAGAGTGGCCCGGGTCCCACTTGCCCGGCCGGGGCAAAAAAATAAATAATAATAATATATATATTTTTATGATTTATTTATTTATTTATTTTAGCCGGGGTGAAAAAAAATAAAAATTAATTTTTTATTTTAAATTTGGCATTTATTTATTTATTTATTTAAGTGTGATGGCCTTGAGATATCATCATTGAGCTGACCAGCGCCAGGCAATTCAGAAATATTTGGTTTTACTCAACAATCAGGTTCCATCATGCGGGTTTGAACTCGGGTCTGTATTTCAATTTTCAACAGCTCATGGGTGTACCCACTGAGCCACTAGTCTCTTGGGGTTTTGGTAAAGAACTTCAAATGTGACCCGGAGGCAGAAGTTGTTCAGTTTATTTTTCTGCATAACATAGTTTTTTTTCGCTTGTTTGTTTGTTTAGTGTTTTTTTTTTTTTTTTTTTTTTTTTTTTTTTTTTTTTTTTTTTTTTTTTTCAGTGTTTTTATTTTTTTTAGTTTTTTTTCGCTTGTTTGTTTGTTTGTTGGTTTGTTTGTTCGTTTGTTTGTTTGTTTGTTTTGCTTGGACCTTCCCTGGTCCTTGCACGGCCGGACTGCCCGGGAAGAGAGGGTGACCCGGGTGGCCCGGCTGGTAGCCTAGGTCCTTCCAATGCCAAAACAAAAAAATACAAGTATCGTCAGCGGAAGAAAAATAGAAGAAATATCGTCAAATGGTAAGAAGGACCGTGCAACCAACTTATATATATCAAATAGAAAAGAAATATCGTCATCGACACACACCTCTGATACGTATAGTGCGCCAACAGGAGTGTCATCAACATCCTAGCGTGCCAAAACAGATGCAGAGTTTAAAATTTAAAATTTAAATCCCGTTGAAGACGGAGAGTCGGGGACTTGTACAACCAAAGATCCGGTCGGTAATCGCGAGACTCCCGATAATATCGATGGGCCTCGCTCCGCTACACAACACTACATGCATTTAGATGCCATCGAGACCGGATGCATTCGAAGTGTTGGACTCGACCCGATGCATCTGCTGCATGTAGAGTGTTGTGGCTGTCTCTTATACACATCTAGATGTGTATAAGAGACAGGAGAGAGAGAGAGAGAGAGAGAGCAAATGAGAATG